GCGTACCGTCTTGATCAGGCTCCTGTAGTCCTTCAAAACCTCCATCTGCCTCAGCCTGATGTCGTTCGCTCCCGCGTGCAGCACAACAGCTCAGACAAACTGGAGTTGACGAACGCCATTTTTCTCGGGACAAGCGTCCCGAAATAACAGCAAAAAACAGATGGGAAATAATTAGCATAGCTGATGTCCATAATGATTTCCCTTACACAGGAGTAGATTCCAGAGTTTGAGCATAAAGAATTTAAGTTTGAGCCTAACTTTTATTTCTGGAATATTTACATTAAAAAATAACTAATGCTAATTACAAGTAATTGTCTGGCAGTGTTAATAAACCTTAAGCAAGAACTGACCACAGAGAAGTCATCTGAACAATTGAGAGTACCATTCAAATGCTTATGATTTACGTCAGATTTGACTTACTCGACCTAACCTGAGGATAATAAATAATACGGTTAAAAGGTGTTAAGATTAAAGCGCACACACTGTAAAACATGGCGCCCAACGTGGGGCTTTAACTGTTCAATTCTGGCCAGTAATTGAACAGTTAAGCGCCTGCTAAATAGTGTGTGCGTGGATATGCTCAAGGATTAGAAATTTATTTTCTAAAAAAAGATAAATTATTTAGAAGACGACTTGTGAAACTTAGTCGAAAAAAAAAATCTAGAAAAGATTTGAAGAAGACCCAGAAAGGATTAGATGTGCACATAACAAATAAGTTAAAGAGTGAAGGAAAGACTAATAAGTCTATACAAAAGAGGCTAAACTATGGCAGCAAAAGCCCAGGAAAAAAAAAAAAAAAAATTTTATACAAGCATATACATGGGGTGAGTCTCATGTATTAGGATGGCAAAAGATAGCCTTACAGGCAGAGACAGTCCAAGAGAAACACTCCTTTCAAATGAGCGACTTTGACTTACTAGTCATCTGGTGTGTAACGTCTTGGAGATGTCCGACAGAACAGCCGCTCCGATTCTGCTGGGGTGAAGGACATCAGCACGATACAGGATAAATCTCTCCTAGAACAAATTCCAATTATTTACAAAGAGCAGTTTCTTTCCATTACACAATGACATTAACCATTCATTTAGTGCAAAAAAATCTACTGAACCTTTCCTGTCCTTGTCTGTACGTGTGAAGCAGTCCAGACACGATGATCGTTGCTTCAGGCGATGTGTTGCGTACCGTCTCGATCAGGCTCCTGTAGTCCTTCAGAACCTCAGCCTGATGTTGTTCGCTCCCACGTTCAGCACAACAGCTCCGAACAGCTTTTTCGAAATGCTAGCGGGCTAAAGGCTAGTAGCCGAGATTTAGAAAATTGGATCCAAGTAGCGATAAAGCAATCCAATTGTTTTTTTATAAGGTATAGTATCGAGGATAAGTTCACATGTTATAAAAATAGAAGGTGCTTGATTACAAATGAGTGGTAAAGAAGAAAATCAAGGATTGATGAATCAATTAGACAGAGCAACAAACACAAACCTTTACAAAACTTTACAAGGCTTACATGTCTGAAACCTCCAGCCATAAGTTCTCCGTCACTTAAAGAAGAGTATTGCATACCTGTACACTCACCTGACTGCTTTGCAGTGGAGACCCCCTGCTGTAAGCTCTGTGACTGCTAACCCTTTGAGAGAAGAGGACTCCGTGATTGTATACTCACCTGACTGCTTTGCAGTGAAACCTCCAGCTGAAAGTTCTCCCTCAGTCACTTAAAGAAGAGTGTTACGTACCTGTATGCTCACCTGTCTGCTTTGCACTGGAGACCCCCCGCTGTAAGCTCTGTGTCTGCTAGCCCTTTGAGAGAAGAGGACTCCGTAATCGTACTCACCTGACTGGTTTGCAGGTAAGACCTCCAGCCTGAAACCCTCCTGCAGCAAGCTTCGTGATCACCGACCTGCAAGAGGAATTAAGTGTCGTGTAATCACCTGACTGCTTCCCAGTGAAGTTGCCATCAGAGCACCCCGACCCTGCATTCCCCCTAGTTAAATTTATCAATGAAAAATATTGTTTTACCCAAATCTTGTCATCTGTCCTCCTTGCTCTGTCCGACTCCCCAAGGGTGGTACGGGTCTCAGGGGTGAGTGCAAGCAGGTTGGCCCGCCCTGACCTGTGACATAAGACCTGTGACATAAGTCAAACTTGCATACAAAGCTTTATAATACAAGAAGGTGCAAACAATGACATGAAAGGTAGACAGAAAATGTAAGAAACAAGTGAAAGATATGTAATATGAGTCACAAAGCAGAAAATGGGTATAGAAGGTCAGCCACTAATGCTAACATACAGAAGACAGGCAGAGAATAAAACATAAAAAAGTGCATAAATATACAAAATACACAAACAGTAAAGACAAAACATTTGATGCATTACATTTCAATACAAAAAAAGAACAGTTTTAGAAAAATAGGAATCGGCATTAAATAGTGAATTGGACAGGAACATAGAATAGCATAATTGCTAATAATTAAAAGAGCATAAATGAAAGATTGATGGAAGACATTAAATCAAACAAAAAACAATGGGCTTAGAAAAAAAATGCAAAGACAAGAGAAAGGAATAAAATACACAAACGATAGGTAAATGCACAAATACAAAATTGTAAATTTTGTAAAAGTATTGGCCACTGTACCAATAGACAGACAAACAAGTCTTAAATTGGATACATGAGATGAAGTGAAGGCATATATACAAAAGAAGCAATTTCAGGACTATGGTGTTGTACAAAGGAAATTAATCATAGAGCTTTATAAAGATAAAAATAAAAAAGGCATTCATGTAGTGTAGATTAGCAGTGCCGGCTTGCTGAGAAGGAGCATGGCATTCGTGTACAAGTACACAGACTCTCAACAGTAACATTTGTTTAAGAAGTTGGACATGTGGAGTTTCAACCCTTAAATATACACCTGCACTTTTTATTTTTTTACAATTAGTGTAATTAAGCCAGTTTCTTTGTTTCACACACTTGTCAATAATCATCTTCACTACATAAATAAGGAAGTACAATAATTAAGTCAATTCACATAGGGCAGTGTACTCTCATCTAATCTAGGGCTGTGAAACGATAAATCATGATTAATTGCATCCAAAATAAGTTTATTTACATAATATTAGGGTTAAAACAGTGTGCAAAAGAAAAAGTTTAATAGAACATGAAGTGCAGAGAAGAGCACACAGGAGCAAGAATAAGTCCCACGGCTCCACACAAGGAGGGCTTCAGAAGATATGCAGAGGATCTGCTAATACTCCATTTAAGAGCATGTGGAGGTCCTGAGAAACACTTACAACAGACAAGTATTTAAACCGCAAATCACAAAGTATAGTATTGATTATGTTGGCAAAATAGGCAAGTTAACAAATTGACATCAACAAGCGGTCATCAGTGAACATGTCATTCTTTGAGTTATTTAGGGTGCACATTGATGAATGGATCTCACCTGAACTTCACCGGTCACTACATGTGGTGACCCTCTGTATCTGAAATCTGACTCACTCATGTGCCTTTATATCCCTAAACAGCTCCTGCAAAAACACAAATCATCAGATCACACACATGCAGTACTCATTCCAATCAAGAGCTCACTGGAGCAAAATCATCAATTTAAGTTAATTCATTAGAGCAACAGAGGGTATATCTGGAATACAGGTGTTTAAAAAACGCAGAACAGATTGTAAATGGATCGTTGGACATCAACTAACCACACGAACGATCCGATCTCAGTGATAGTTCACATCAGACCCATTTACATCTCAGATCTACAGAGAAAACAGAACAGTTAACATGATACACCAAATTAAAGAAACAGTAATAATTTAAAAAAAAAAATCCAAAAATCTGTGTGAAAGCAGATAAAGTGAAATATTTTAAAACACTTAAATATTAAATCCAAATTAAGTGTAGAACAGTCAATAAAAGATGTGCTCATAAATGTCACTTACAAAATGGTGGATGCATTAAAGCGCCCGACGATGGAGAAAACTTCAGGAGACTTTAATAGAACAGAAGACTCCACGAGGAGACCCACACACACACACATCAACTAGAACTTAAAGTAATGCAAGCCAACGACCAGGGAGAAACAGAGGGCTTAAATACACAGATAACGGATCAGGGAAACGAGACACAGCTGGGGTAAATTAACCCAACCACAGTAACCATAGCAACTAACTGGGAGAGAACGAAACCAGTTCATTTGGTTCAGCTGTGTTGTGTTAATGAAGACAGTGAAACTGGGATCAAGGAGTGGCTCAGTTTGATGAAAGCCTAAAAATGCTTCAGAAAGCCTTGGTTTACAATCGCTACATTTGTACTGCATTAAAGTTTAAAAAATGAAAATACAAATATACAGAAAGGGTGGAGATCTACAACACCACTTAAGTACAAGTGAAAAATAACCAAAAATAAAAATAACTGTCTTACGTTCAGTTCAGTTCAGTTCAGTTCAGTTCAGTTCAGTTCAGTTCAGTTCAGTTCAGTTCAGTTCAGTTCAGTTCAGTCTTCCCTCTCCAAACTACATCCCAGACTGGAAATCCTGCAGGTTCATCCTGTGGGCCTTTATAATCATGGGCAAAACCACTGACAGGAACGCAAACAACAAGGAATACAATTCAACAAACCACCAAATCTCAATATAATACACTTTCTGTACATGGCCTAATTCACAAATTATTATTTAAAAAACCATGAATACATGTTTCCTCATTGAAAAACTGTTACATTTTTGAACAAACATTCCCCTTCATCTTCTACACTTGGTTTCTCCCAGTTCCCAACATGCACCTCAGCACAGATATAAAAGCTCATTCCAGACGCTCTTCTGGTTCTTGCAACCTGTCGCATTGGCTGAGTTTCTGTTTTAATTCAATTGTGAAGTAAGAGATGTTACAAATAGACTCTACAAAAATATACTAGAGTTCATGTTAAAATTGATAAAGATCCATAATCTGATTCATGTAAAAAGGGAGTATTTTATCTACTATTTTTATCTTTTCCATTGAGTCAGGCTGATGTGACGATGTCTCCAGATCTGCTCGTCTGCCGTGAGCTTTCTCTGCCAGGATTCATATGAAAGGTAGGTTGGAACTTTTTTTTAATTACATTCTTTTATAAATGGATGTTTGATCATAATTCTAAATCTATAATGTGTTTGGGATGAACTGTAACACAGAAAGCATTAAACATATCTTGTTGAGGAGCTGAGATTTTGATTATTAATCCAATTCTATTTGTAAGAAAGGGTTGGGCTTAGGGTTTGTTGGCTCAAGTCAAGTCACATTTATTTATAAACCACTTTTTACAATACAGATTGTATCAAAGCAGCTTCACAGTGATAACATGAAAATAATACAACACAGAATATATATATTGTTGAATATGAAATGTCCCCAAATGGTGTGAGAGGCTTTACAGTGTGACGGGCTGCTGATCTGTCTTCACGGTGTTTGTGTTTCAGTGGCGGCTGGATGGAGGACTCCTGTGGTGGAGGTTCGGGTTTGTTGGGTGTGACAGTCTGCTGGGGCTCGTTCTTCGTACGTCGCTAACTCTGTTAGTTGGATTTGATTGCTGGCGATTTGCCATGATCTTGGATGGTTTGGTTCTTTGACACTCATCCTGGACTTGCTGTCACAGCAACAGGTCCGTCAGCTTGAACCTGCTCGTGAGCAGGCATATTTCATGTTAGCAGGATTAGATCGCAGCTGATGTGGGTTAGGGTTAGTCCTTTAGCGCAGCACGATAGTGAAGCCTAATTTCTGAGATTTTTTTTTTTCTCGTGAAACGATCGTCGTGAGGGTGTCGTTTATACATTATTATTTTGTTGGAAATGCACATTAATGTTTGATCCGATGTCGGGCTTCAACAACAGCACAAAATGTTTGCATTGCCCTAAAATTCTTTGCGAGTGGCTTCCTTTACACTATTGGAGATGCGGAGAACTTGATAAGCTTTCTGTCGTGCCATTCACAAAGTTCACCTAGTGCTCTTCGTTTTTTTTTTTTTTTTTGCCAACTTTGGGTATATTACAATTTTTAATGAAGATAATGCAATCATGATGACCATGCCGATTATGACTAACAGTCCCTCAGGCTTAATTTACATGATTGGTGCCATACACTGTAGACTGCACACATGTTCCCATCAAGGCCTCAATGAAGGGATTTTGTGAGCAGAAAGGGGGCTTACAATGTAAATGTGCAGCCAAGTTACTGTTACAATTTTTAATATTCCAGATTAGTAATTTTCATTTTTTTTAAAAGGCAGTTGACTGAGTAAAATATCTTGGTGTGTGACCATGTTCCATATCACAAATCAGTGTGAAAGCAAAATGGCCAGGATCTGTGCATGACTCAAGAATTTTAAGATATTCACATTTATGAACATTATTTGAACGTGGTAAGGAAAATTATAAATATCAAACTCACAGTATTACATATACTTATGCTGAGAACTGCATTTTTCCATTATGCAGGTGATTACAACAGGATCCTGCATGGAGACCCAAACCCCAGACCAGTTACAATGCAGCTCTAGGACAAGGGCACACAATGACATGAGCTTTGGCCAACTAAAGGGAAGATTTCAGGGTCCAAAAAGCCTGAGGGTTGCACCTGACAGGGCCTGTGCCATTGCATGTGCCATATTACACAACACTGTCAACATCAGAAAAAGAAAAAACAAGTTTAATTAAGCCTAAAATAAAAGACAAGACAAATTTGCAAAACTTAAGAGTTTTATTTCAATAGCTCTTTGTAAAGAAAGTTATTCCGTCATATTTTTAAAAGAGATATTATGCAAGGTCCGCAATAGTACTTTATTTTGAAGCAACTCTATTTCTAGTGCAATTCTTTTTTTTAGTCAAGTTCTATTTCTCCCCTGGTTTTTGTTTTTTCAAAATACTCTATTTTCTGTTGAAGACTCATATAGGGACGAGTTTCACCCGGTGTCGTTTGTGTCACACACGCCTCATGCAACAAATAAAAAGGAAAAGTTTTCTCTACACTGCCCACCCCTGTATCACTGCTGTGTGCAGACTCTTCTGTACATGTGGACTCCTGTCAGAAATAATACTGTATAAATCAATTAAAGCCATCAATTAAATTAAAGTTCTTACTCCAAAGGACAGTCATCTGAGAAGTTTTCTTCACTCTCCAGTGCAATGTGATTGATAACTCATGGCAAAATATTTTTTTTTAAGTTTATCATGATAAGTTTATCAGTTTTTACTTTCACAAGACAAAGCAATTTATCATTACTCGAGATTTAACAGTTGAAATGACTAAACCAGCCAATTTGGATTATAGGTCTACTTCATTTAATGCAGCAACGCATTATTTCACAGTGTACAAAGATAATTTAAATCTCATTTCCCAGTGATGAAGGTGTTGCTGCTACTGGTCCCTGATGTGGGTCTGGAAGAGCTGAACCCAGGGATGGCCTTCACAACAGGCCAATTCACATTCAACCCAAGGGTCAGCTCTTCTGCCAGGGTCAGGAGCATCATTATTATTTTTTTCTCTCAGCCTTTTTCCTGGTGTGAACAGGCCTTTGAACATGTATCATATAGAGTATGAAAACTGTGCAGAATTAAAGAGGAATACACTGTCCTGCTTCATCTTTAAAGGATGTTTCAAACTAAGTAGTCCAGTTCAGCATTCATGGCAGAATACATTTCATAAATGGCATCTACAGTTGCAGTGAAGTTTATCAAGAACTGGCAAACTTTCCTTAAGCATTCCTCCTCGGCAACTTCTTGATCCTTGGATAAAGCTTTAAGGAAATCGGACCTGCATGGCGCAGCGTATTGGGCGGCCTGCAGCCAAACCAAACAAAAAGCAATCAGTGTCTCAATAACAAAGCGATTCGTTATTACAGACGACCCACATTTCTCAACTAATCAAATTCCATCCAAATTTCCATGATTATGATCACTGGATTTTTAAAAGTATGTTTACAAGATCATTTCCTTTACAAGAGTTTTCCAGGCCTCATTACATGCACAGCACAATGACATCATGCACACAGTTACAGAAAACACCCACCTTGAAAACGTTCTGGACAATCCAGCCGTGATACCTCTTGAGGGCTCGGTCATAAGCTTTAGTGATATTGATGCGGATAAGATTGGGATTGTCCTCATCTCTCTCCCCATCCACTAGACTTTGCAGTAAAACCTGAATGAACCGCAGACCTCTGAGGAAAACACTGGTGATATCGTCAAACAATTTATGAAAAATCAGAAATTGCACATACATAGTATATATTTATTAGAGCTGCACATTTAACACATTAAATCCACTACGTAGTGGACATGTTTTCCTCTCCAAACCAGTTTATGGTTAGGGTGTAGGGAATGTTCAGGGGTTAGTATCTTTAGTAGGGTTATGTTGGTGATCTGCACTGTGATTGACACGAGTAATGAAATCTTTCGAATCGACTCTTAGAATCCAAACAGGCTTGGGCAATAAAAGCACTACAGCTACGCATTGGATTTAACTCACTGTACGTCATCACTACGAGCTCAGGTACTGATGACTGTTCCCAGACAATGATTCACAGTTCACCAATGACCAACTTTAGGTGCGTTCACGTCATAGAAACTGCTGTAAAAAGCTTTCACGTCCTTGTAAGTCTGCTTTCACAACAGTGACCCAAACTGGGAAAACTGCTTATTTACCGAATCGACAGTCCACTGACTAATCTTTAACATGTTTGCTTTTAAAGCTTGCTTTTCTGTTTTATAAGAGAAGTCACGGGCGATTGCAGGACAGGTATGATTACGTTTACGGGATTTGTCGTTAATATCTATGGTATCAGCAAGAGTTATTGATGTGCCGCTAGATAGTTACATATTTCACAATGTTACATTTTGTCAATTGCATTTTATAAATAAAAAAAAAAAAAAAAAAACATTTTTCAATACCTGAAATAAAATACATTTTGCTTAGTAAAGTTCAGGTTTTCTAAATCACATAAATAAACATTTTCCTTCAGAATTGTGGTCTATTTTAATAGCCTACAAAAATCAGATCTTCATTTTATTTAGAATTGTGCAGCTCTAGTTTCTATTAATGTGATTTGTTGTCTTAGATATAAAATCAGAAGAAATAGAAGGACATGCAGAAAGTGTGACTAAGTGAACAGATTACCTCTTTAACCACATAAGCGCCAGCGTGGCTCCGACTTTAGGCCACTCTGAGCCATAGATGCTTTTCTCAGTTAGCAGAATCTGCTGAAGAGTCTCATACTTCACTGGATCTGAGTCATAGACAGCTTTGATTTTCTAGTGAGAATTGGGAAGCATTCAGAACACTCATAAAATACATTTTCAAAGGCATTTGATATAGGAAGCTTCCTTAAAAACTGACTAATTAACACATACTAGCTTAGCCCTGAGACTTACTGTGATGTTTCCATTTATGTCAGCCTTAATTGGTGCGAAAACCTTGGAACCCAGGCAATCTGCAATGTAATTTTATAAAACACATTATAACTAATCCTGACATCATACAATTGGTTCCAAATGTCTGTTTATGGTACCAAGAAAATGGTAGCCATCTGGTAAACAAACTGTTAAAACTATCCTAAACTACTTAAACTGTAGGCTACTAACTACGATACAAAAACTAGACAGGCCTAGAATAAAATTCTATGAAATATATCAAACGTTAAATAACAGTAATTCACTGAAACAACATTTATTGTACGTACCCATATTCTGATCACAGGCATTTTTGCCTAGGCTATTTCTGACGCTGGAACAGTGATAAAAGCGCATGGTATTTTGGCGCCACCGTGTGGTTAAATGAGGTATTCACCCGCGCTGCCTAAAGAGTATCAGTTCTGTTTTGTCCACGGCGTTCAATGTTTAATGATCCCCTTGTTGTTTGTAACACAAGTTTGGACAATTCAGACATTAAAAAGTCGAACTGAAAATGTCAAATGTGAAAGGAAATATCGGGGAGAGAAAGATCGAATGTCCAAAATTGCTTTCATTGTGTTTCCCATTAGTATGATTCTTAAATCAACTTCGGTAGACTATTTAGTATATAGGCCTTAAGATATCTCTTATGCTCGCTCACGCTCACCAAAATTCTCATATATTTTTTGTAACTTCGCATAATTAAGTCACACGTACAAGTTAGGACTCACCGAAAAACTGTGGCAGATGCGAAACTGACTCCAGAAATGTTTTGGTGTCGATGTCGTTGGTGTGTGGCAGCGGCGCAAACTGCTGATCCAGCAAAAGTGCCATCACAAAACATGGAAATAATGCTAGCTGCTTTTTTTTTCAACTGTCAGCGGTTCGCCAGCGTTAGTTTCTCATTTAAATTCTTCCGGAATGTCTTGGAAAATATATTCAACAGGTGAGGCAGAGTTACTGACCGACTGAAGCAAACCCGAAGCGAGGCCACAGCGTGAATTAATCATGACCGCATTTTAAATACCCTTCCTGCTGACAAATGGCATGCTACTTCTAAATAATTCAATGGGTTATATCCAGTTATAAGCTTAAAACACTTAAAAACCATATAGACCCACCTTTTAGCGCAATTTTAGGCAATTTAGCACAACAGAGCAGCTTGAAAGGATAGTTCATTAAACATGGTCATTTACTCGCCCACAAATTGTTCCAAACCTGTATGAATTTCTTTCTTCTGCTGAACATAAAATATATTTTGAAGACAGTCAGTGACCAAACAGTTGATGGGCATTGACTTCCATGGTATTCTTTCCCCATAGAAAGTAATTAGCCCAATTAGCCCATCAACTGTTTGTTTCCACATTTTCTTTGAAATATCCTCTTTTGTGATCAGCAGAATAAATTCATACAGGTTAGAAAGAACTTGAGGGTGAGTAAAAAATCGAGAATTTCAGCTTTGGGGGGTAAACTATTCTTTTAAGTTTTTGACGTCATTCTACAGTACATGCAAATAGGCCTAATTAATGAACGTGCATTTAAAAAAAGACAAGTGGTAGCTTGAGTACAATTAAAATTTATTATATTTAGTAACAAGATTGTGAAGCAGCATCAACTGCGAGATGCAAATCCCATTTGAAGGCCGATGTGTCCTTCCAAACTGAGCAGGTGTGTACACATCACATCACATCCGCCAGCGACTGGAGCAGGAAAGAGGACAAACTCGCACCAGATTAGTTGCATACATAACTGACAACCAGCAGCTTACATTTATAACTTGTATATAAATATAATACAATGTACTGAATAATTCAAAGCTATGCCACAGAATGCCGGAATCACTAACACAGCAGCTGGTGGCCGTTAGGCAATTGTGTGTGTTATTTGTAGTATTTCAGACAAGGAAGCACATGAACACATCCTTTGGACACACAAGAGCATCCCTAAAACATCAGACAAAGTGAATTCATAGTAAAAGCATTTCGTTTTACAGTTATTTATGAATAAACACTGACATTCGGATGGAAAAGCTGCAAAGACTGCATCTAGAAGGAAAGTCAAAGGGACAGTCATTTGAACTGGATAAGGGTTAGGCACAAATGAAGGAAAATTATTTATGGCAAAAATAAACATGACATTTTAAAATCATAAGAAGAGGGTGATGTGTCTGCATGTGTGTGAGTGATGTATTTAAGACACCCAAGCATACACACAAATGAGGTATAACAGCTCACACACTAAAGCACTCTACACACTCTGAATTACTTCATACAAGGCAACACCAGGACGGGTCAGGAAGGGTTTTGCAGCGAGGCTAAAGGTATTTATTGCACAAGGAATGAGGCATTGTGTGTCCTGACCTCTACATCACGGGCACATTTAGAGTGAGTTGGTTTTCAAGACAGAAATACTTCCTATACGCCAGCTGAATTTCAGCAATAATAGCCGTTTATGATCTTCAGTTGTCTCTCACTTAAACTTTGTACATGGTATACTTGAAATGTGCAGTTAGGAAATGAGTAAAGGCCATGTTCTGTTCATCCACAAACGAGAGCACTACAGATATGTCAAATCAGCTCATTAGCACCATGGGAAGCAAAACAAATATTAGTTTACATTTTAAAACGGCACAGTAAAGCTTTGAAAAAATAATACAAATCAGGCTGCTGATGATCGAGGCTTAGCGCCCCGAACGTTATGTCAGAGTAAACGTAAAAAAAACAATTTGATCAATAATACTGGACAAGATAATAATAGCAAAGTGTACATGGAGCTCAGCGACTCAGTTACTGTCTTTGGTAGTCACCGTAACGAGCTGTTTGGCCGCCTTGGCGATGTCGTAGGCACACTGAATAACCTGCTGGGAATCGTGCGGTGTGACCTTCTGACATTCGCCCTGAAGACGGCTGGCACTGGAGGTCAAGAGGCGCAAGGATCCGCGAACGGTCTCGGAGGACGGCCTCTGTGATGGGAGACAATTTCAGAGCCGTATTAACTCTTTAGTGCTTGGTGTGGATGCAGACGCAATAAATAAGGGTTAGATATTCTCCACTACGGCAAAGTTTCCACATTAGCTCTAGGCTTACCTTCGGGAATAGGGTAGCCATTTCTGTCACTGCTACAAGAATTCTCTCCGAACACAGGACAAAACTTGGACAAAAAAAGACAATGGAAAATGCATTTTTTATTCTCAGATTAGATGAACTGGCATTTAAAATTATCATGATTAAAATACTAGCATTTTAATATAAAAACTTGGGGAAGTAGAACTAAATATACTCTTCTACTTTACTGTACATAAAAAAGTATTTTCTTGTTTATTTATATATACATGTGTATCTTATTCATATATCTTTATTATTATTTTTTTTTTTTTACATTCTGTGTACTGTTGTTGTCTCATACTGGAAGCTTCTTCCGTCACACTACCTCAAATAAAGACACACTTTAAAGGGTAATTCCACCGGTGGACACATGAATATGTATTGAAAGTAGGTCATATACGTATTAGAATAGCATCATATATTTCTCATTTGGGTCCTTCCTGGCCGATAAATGGCAGAAAATGACTTTTTAGTGCTTGTGGATTGTAGACAACAATCCCCATAGTGCATTGCAAAGCTCAGCTCCACAGGCCACTCCCACTACTCCGCCCATCACTGTAGACTAGAGTTGAGCTCCACTCTACGCTACCGCCTGGAAATCATTTCGCACAATGAAATCAGATAATGCGCGCTAATATAATATGATGACGTAAGAGCGTCGAGGCCGATGGATTGGCGTGATTCTATATGGGCTTCGTTCAGACAATCGCCATACTTAGTCTGACGCATAATTTTACACGTGAAGTGCAGCCGAACCTTGGAGCGTTTAGTCTTCGGCATCTTCATTAATCCCCTCGCTATCAGACGAGTCTCCCGCATATCGATAACGGCTCCCTGATGCCGCAAATTAGTTCAAATCTCCCGAATCTAGAGCGAGCGAGCAAGAGCGCGCATGCGAGACAGAAGCGACTGTGCTCCATGCCGTATAGTGCGCGCACGAGGGACAGAGCGAGAGACCGTAAGTGGACTTCACAGGGTATTTCGCCATCTTAAGTGAGATTCCAATTCGAAGGGAACGAACATGTTCAGTTCGAAGGGCACTGCAAACGCCATAGGGAATAAGGGGACATTGATACATCACTTCACAGGAAGTCAGTGAAGTCCACTTCAACTGATATACCGTGTTCAGGGAGTAGTGAGCAGTGAACTCTGCGTAGGGACCCTGTCGAATGGAACGCACCCTTTGTGTGTGTGCGCCTCATGACACAGAGACTCAGGCACTGAAATATTCATTCTTGTTTGGTCTGGTTATTACCGTTCACATCAGAACCGGTTCCCTGTTAGCACCGCGTTTCGGTACCCGACCCTACCCATAATGCAATCAAAAAGTTTCTGCTGGAGAAATCAAATGCACTGGCACTGATCTGTGATTGGTCTGTCAGCGCATTAGGCCCAACCCCCTATGGGCGGGTTTGAAAGGGTGGGAACTAGTGCTTGTAGTCTTTCCAGAAATCCCCCCTCTTACACTTCCTCCTACAGTGACGTAAAATGACGATTTCTGCGTCATTGTAGGAGTATAACTGGGGTTCTAACAATGGAAATCTTAATGCCCTTTAAATATCCTTTTCATTTACAAATACAGGTTTAAAACAACGGTATGAAAAGACCTTTTTGATAATTAGTGCTTCATGATGGTAAAAAAAAACGACAACAAAAAACTCCCCAAACCACAGTGGCCACATGCGACTGCACATTAGCACTGTGAAGGGACAGCCAAAGAGCAGAAATGCTAACCTATGGTATCATTCTCCCATGACTGCATAATGATCATCACAGACCTGAGACCGAATGCCAGCGCAAGCTGAACAACAAAGGCTCCCAGTGATCAGAATATTGGATTCAAATGACTGTTCCTGATACTTATGTGAAGACAGAACACACTGCATGCCGTACTCTCAGATAAGCCATTTGTGGATCCGTCCAACATGGCCATGTGTGGTTATATCCCAGCTGTGTTGACACAATTCCATCACTTGCTTAACAGACAAAAGAGACACTGTGTCATCACCACTGAAGTCTCCGACTGGAGAATGGGTCCTTTCACAGCACTAACCCTTACGCAGGCTGTCACCACACCAAGGCCAGACACATTTTCTTACCCCTCATGTTTATTTTCCTGTGCAGCTCGGAGTAATTCCTGGATGTTCTTGGTGATCAGCTCTGTTTTGCTGATGACGTCCTCTGTGCACGGCAGAGTCGAATCACACTCGCTCTCAGACAGGTTTTCTGATTGTGTACCGTCACCCAGCCAACCGCTCGCCCTGGAGAACGTACTCAGTGTTGGCCTGTGGGGATGTGCATGCACGGTTCAAAAATAAATACATTCACAAGTTACTTATTTAATTATTTATTTTCAAAGCAAAAAAGGTGAAAAGACAAACCCGGGTTCATCCATCTCGATGTGGTTCAGTGCATCATCATAGTCACTTTCGGGCACGCCGCTCTGGGCGTCCGAGGTGGATCCCTGTAACAGGAGTCGAGTCACAGTGAGCGGGATGCAACCTGTTACTG